TGTTGCTCTTTCACAACGTTTGGTGAATGTGACTGACGTGTGTGAAAGTGCAGACGAGCAGGAAATGGAATGACGTTTAGCGCGCAAAGCCTAGCCCCAGGTAGTTCTTGTCGGGGGAAGTTTCTGCAAGATCACCTCACCACCCAAGTTTTCTTCTGGGTACAACTCCTCCTTCCCCATCGTACCTACCTTCCTCATAGGTTTTGCCAGCTTTCTACCAACTATCCCAGTTTTCCAAACATTTCTCCAGCTTTTTCCAAAAGACAAACCGCTGTGGAGCAAAAGGTGGGATCATCACCAAACAACTACTAAATTTAACTATCGAAAATAGTAACTTCATAAGACTTTGGCTGCGCGGCCAAAAGGGAGCGTGGGGTGGATAGCGCTCGTGAAACAGGAAAAATGGCCCGTCGAAAAATTTCCTTGAATGGCGCTGACCTCAAAGGCGCCTATGGGTTCATAAACGATATTACATGTGACTCACCGATATGGTAACATAAACTGGGTTGCTGCTGCTGTACGGTAACATCAACCAGTGCGACATCGGCGTTGTAGAAGGTGTCGAGCGCGTTCGCCTCACCAAAGTCCAATCGATCAAAATCGATTTGCTGCAAGAAAATTCGAAAGTTCTGAAAAAGGCTCCCTTTTTGTCTTTTTGACTTCTTTACTCGTACATAAGGTCCAGCTAAAGCCTTGAGAACAGCACTGACACAACAACACCTGCCCACCTTCCAAACTCCGCCTCCTGCATATATTGCGATAAAATGTGTAATCTCTTGAAGAGAACTCACTGTAAGGTTAACATTTAGCGTGTCGGCAACGTTCTGTACATCTTTCAGAGCCATCTCCCGTACTCGCAGATTCTTCTGAACCTTCTGGTCGATAACGATTACCACTTGCAGCTTTCGAGTGAAATGTGCGCCCTGCAAACGAGTACGTTGTAGACTTTTTTGTCATTTTTCTATTTAGAATTGATTGTTAGCTGTGGTGGTCAGTTTCCGTAGTTCTCTTCTTTGTAGTGTAAAGTGGGGAGGAGCTCGGTAATGCTTACAGGCCACGCCTTTTTCTGCTCGTTTGCGCCCTTCTTAGCGGAATAGTTTCGAGTGAATTTGGCCGACTTCTGCGAAGTGCAGACGTGCAGAGAATGGGTGAGGCATAGATCCCTTAATGCACCCCTTTGCAAGTAGCTTAAAGCCGGTGAACACATAGTTACGCCTCATACACATTGAGGGTGTATGAGACTATCAGCCCCCCAGATGTCGATGTGTCGTGGTCCCCCCGCCCAAACATGCCCGGGAATGGAGATACAGGGCCGTGAAACACGCTAATTCTTCCATGCTCCGCCCACTGCCTTTTGCGGCGCAGATTCCCGCCGTTCTGAACATCCGTTGCAAGCGCGCCTGTCGCGTGCGGCTCCTTGGCACTTTGCCAAGTCCTTTAATTGCGCTCTCAAATACAAGTAAAACGCAATTTCCTGATGCGGATAACATTGGAGGTGCTACAAAATAAGAGCAGAAGATGATGACGAGGGTCAGAACCTAAAAGCGACTGTGCCACTTCTGCAACATCCCTCGGAGGCCACGTATTTCCACGAAACATGAAAATAAAAACTAAAAACGGCATACTCGTTAGTTTAATACAAGCAAGACGCAATTTCCTGATGCGAATAAAATTTAAGGTGTTGCTCATGCTTCAAAATCCATGTACAAGGAGATGAAGATGACACAGGCTAGAAATGAAGCACAACGATGTAAATGTAAACAAAACAAAAATGAAAAAATCAAGGAAAGGCAAATTAGATAAACTGGCCTGTAAATTTCTACGATCCGGCGCCAAAGCCATAGAAATACTTAGAACAAACGAGTGGGACGCTTGGGCTGTTTTTATTTTCATGTTTTGTGGGAATGCGCGGCCCTTGATGGATACTGCAGATGCAGCCGAGTTGCTCTTGAGTTCTGCCCCTTGTCATCATCTTCTGCTCTTATTTTGTAGCACCTCCAATGTTATCCGCATCAGGAAATTGCGTTTTCCTTGTATTTGAGAGCGCAATTAAAGGACTTGGCAAAGTGCCAAGCGATGCCGCACGCGACAGGCGCGCTTGCAACGGATGTTCAGAACGGCGGGAATCTGCGCCGCAAAAGGCAGTGGGCGGAGCATGGAAGAATTAGCGTGTTTCACGGCCCTGTATCTCCATTCCTGGGCATGTTTGGGCGGGGGGACCACGACACATCGACATCTGGGGGGCTGATAGTCTCATACACCCTCAATGTGTATGAGCGTACTATGTGTCTTTAAAGGCAGTTGGCACGATAAATCGCTATACAGGTGTAGGATTTGTACAACTGGCTTAACAGAATTCCGTGACCTCGGACAGGCGCTGCGTGAAGCCTTCTCCAGGAGGGATGCCCCTATAACGCCTATCGAGCAACAACATTCCGTCCCAAACGCCTTCCTCGCCCGCCCGCCCACAAACGGACGACCGTTCCTGACGCTCGTATTCATTCATTTGCTGAGCAAATTATGAAGCAAAGGGATTGGTATGAAGCGGCGGTGATGCTGCATGCATATATGGGTACACATATGCAGCCGTATCTTCGGTAGCGGTGATTGGCAAGATGCGTATGGGAAACTCGTCCAAAATCGATTTACAAGTCACTGAGAACGGAAGGCTTTTTCTTCGCCGGATTTTGACCGTTTCACTCCGTTCTTTCGCCATTTCCCCACTATATAGCGCCCTACTAGCATTTTAGGCTAAGTAGGAAACCATCGTGCCAACTGCCTTTAAAGCCGGTGGGATCTTATTCAATTATGATTCCAAGAGATGAGGAGTACTTCTGTCAACTGCTTGACTTCTGGAACACAAGCTGTCCTAAATCTCAATTACCATGGAAATACATTCTTATTCGCTGCGGACGCTGAGGCATTTTAGGGCGGGGGGACGGGGGGACTAGGTTTGGGGCGACGCCAGTTGGTTCCCCACCTGGCAGGACGATTCTATTGGTGAAGAACACGCTGGCCATAACTCGACGCTCTACTCATCAAAAAGTAAAATGAAAAGGTGAAAAAGAACTAAAATATCCCCAAACATTTTATATGTGATTGCTGATTGTTTCTTATCCTTCTCACGTTAAAAGAGTATATACTACCCGCTGCACCCATTGTTTTCGTCTTGAAAGAGCAGTCCACGCTTATCGCATGGGCGGAGCCACTAAACTGTTGCATCTCATTCGGACGCGCATTCGTTTGAAAAAAAATCCAATGCTGCTCTGGGTGGCGGCTCATGTCTTCCCCATAAGAACAGCGTAAGTCGTGCCGCCCATAACTTCAAAGGCCTCTGAGTTGGTTCAAAATATTTACGGCGTTTTAGTACCTTTTTCTGAAGGACTGTTGAGGGACTAGCCTGAACTTTCTTAACCAACAGCGTATTTTGGCCACACATATAATATCTCCCCAACAGCAAAAGCTAAGAGCGAACGTAAGCGGTCTGCAAAGAGGCGCCAATTTACCTTTGGGCGGAGACAGTTGACCACTTCATGGACTTGATGCGCCCCACTTTTTTACCATCTCCAAGGAGAGGCACTATTTAGTTTAAGCAGCGCGTGAAAGTGGAAGCTTTTCTGTCCCTCCCTCGCCTGATCACTGTGAAACGAAAGTAGTTGGGCATCTCCTCCTATGCCTCCCTTCACAAACAGCGTAGAACTGTGCCTTTAATAGAAACTAGATTATCAGCTTTTCATGTTCAGTGACTTTTGAAGTTTATCTTGCTTATTCAGAGATTTTAGCATATCACTTGGACATTGAATCACTTCGCAAATGGACTTCCTGGAACGTGCCGTTTTTTCGGTACTCGGTGCTGACGAGGCAGGGATCCGTTGAAACGACGACGATGACACCGTCGGCACGGCGGACGATCGAGGCGGTAAGGGAATCGGGCATACCTGAACACACAACATGTAGTAAGTTCTGTGTTAGAACGATGCCCCTAACCTGAGTGAGCATTAAAAGCGTTGTTCGAGCGCATTGGCTAGGAAGCGGGGCTTCATGCTAACATTATTGGTGGTAGGCCGCCGGGCTATACTTAGCGCGCTGGAGAGGAAACAAGGTTGTTCACAACACTTTCTGATCAGTGACGCTGAACTGGAAACTCTGCCACCTAGCCAATGTGCCCACTGACTTTCATTGATTAACAATTTTTCACTCAATTGTTTTTTTGTTTATTTGGTCATTCAGTTAGTGAGTTAGTTCTTCTTTTTTAAAGGGATTGCCAAAAATAACAGTTTTATTATTCTAATCGTTTTTGCCGTGTCCTGCTTACAATTTTTTGGCTGTATTTTACCACTATTCATTTAAGGTAGTACCTTACCTAAAATACCTCCCTAAAACTAGCCCTAATCCTTTATCCTGTTTCCCAGAAAAAACTTGTCCATCTCTGGCCGTCGGGGCGAGAGGTGAATCGCCTCCAGAAAATGATGCAATCTCTCCTTAATTTCAGCCCTTGAACTAACGCAGTTGACACGATGGCTGGGGGCGGCGCCACCTGCTGCGGATCGGATGGCGTGGCCAAACGTCGCAACCCTCCACCAATATCGTTGGGAGTAAACGCTCAAATCCCCCCTCCCCCATCTGCCGCTGCCTCTGAGGAAGGCTTGCTTCAGCAAGACAAAATACAGGAGTTCTCCATATTCAGAAATTTAGTCAGGTTTCCTGATCCCTCTCATTGTCAGACCAGGGCAGATTATACCCATTCCACCCCCCACCCTCCCCCCACTACTTGCTCGACGGCAGTTATTTGTGAACGAGTGGAGGACTTTTGCGCGATCTTAAAATCTGAAAGCGTAGGATAGGGATGGGGAGGGGGTCGGTAACAGTCAGAGCGGGAATTTTTGAGAGAAACGATCGTATTTTGCATATTTATATTTTTCCTCCAACGGCGAAACGTACCTTCGTACTACGCTAGCTTCCCTCTACATATTGCGGATTCACTGTAAACCAGGATTCGTTACAGATTTCGAAGAGAAATCTGATACGCGCAAACAGAGGATCGCTAACAGCTGACTACCCCCCCCCACACCCTTGTCCGGTTGTTATTTTGCAGAGATCCAAAGGCAGAACGCAAAAATGCCACGGAAAAAGTTTGAAGACGAAACTGTAATACTTGAGACAGCAGCTGAGCAACACATGTGCCCTTGAGCAAGGACAAATGTTCGTTCAATGGATAAAAAACCGTGCGAAAGGGTTAGAAGGGCCAATGGTTGATCGCACCCTTTGTTTTGTCAGTTTGATGAAATTGATAAGCACTTCTGAAGCCCACACAGTGGAGAGAAAAGTAGCAAATGTACCAGGTAATTACACCAAAGCCAGTGTGTGAGGTAGAGCAGCTGTTCTTTGAAAACCGGTTTTTGCATTTGGGTCAAACGACGAATTCGGCTGAAAACAGGGGATACTGCCTAGTCCGCTGAAATGTCAAAAAATCTTTAAATGCCTCCCCTTCTCAATTTCGTGCAGGCACCTGGAAATCCTCGAAAAAATGGCAGAAAAATTTTCGAATTTCCACATCTTAACTGGAGTTCCTCTACTATATCGCAAAACTGAGTTTTTACTGATAGAATACAAATCAGGAAAAACAATAAAAACAGCGCGGTTCGGATTGGGAGGGGCATTTTGCATTTTCATTAGCTCCTTTTGCTCGTCCTTGCTAAAGTACGGGTTTCACCTTGGTGAGATCTGTAGTCCTTCTGTCAAAGGCACACAAAGCTGCTGTTGCATTGCAGAGGAGGGTACCAAAAAAATGCCTCCACCGAAACTAAAATGAGCCAAAAAATGGAATAAATCAGAGTGCCGAAAG